GCCGTCTGGAGAGATCCTGGGCAACCCTGGCAGAGCGCAGCCCTCACCAAGCTCAGGCCCAGCCTTTCCCGGAGGGGCCAGGCCTCAGAAGGGCTCGTCTCCAACGGCAGCTTCGGCGAGCAGCCCTGTGGCCAGCGCTCAGGAGCACTCTGTGCCCGGGGACGGCTGCCTCTCAGGGCCGCAGGGGGGACACACACAGCACTCGGGGGTGTGCAGCTGGGCATGGCCAAGGTGCCTCGCCCCCACTTGGTGACAGCGTACCCGTGCCCAGGACTACATGGACACGGGCTGCCCACCGCAATCCCCTCACGATCACTCCGGGAGAAGATGGGTCAGGCATCAGGACCGGATGAGCCCCCTCCTCCAGCTCTGCTGCAGAGCTTCCCAGCGGCCGCGGCAAGGAGGGAGCACAGCGGAGCCCGACGGGCCTTCAGACTAATACGCAACTCAGCTGGGGACGCCTAACGAAGCCTCCCCTCAGGCCGGGTGCCGTGAGAGTCTCGTGTCTCCTGGGGGTGCGGGGGGCGGCTGATGGCGGCACAGCAGGCCCTGGGAGCCCCCCCCAGCCCAGGTCCTGGCCTGAGCTTCATCAGTTGGGCTCGGTTGGCCTGGAGAGGGAGGGCCAATGCCAGGCTGGGGGAGGGGCATGTGGCACCTGGCGCGGGGGGGCGGGGGGGGCTGAACCAGGATGGGGAGATTCGCTGGTGATATTGCAACAGACAGGGAGTGGGAGGGCTGAACTGTGACGCAGGTGAAAGGTGCCCCAAGATCTCTCCCTTCCTCCAAGTACACATCAGTGGGGGCCACCAGGCCCGTGTGTGTCCCAGACACTGGGATCCTTCTCTGTACTCCTGGGGCGCTGGGCCTGCCGCCCACCGCACGGAGCTGTTCAGGGTGTGGGCTGCGGGGGAGCGGCCCAGGGGCTCAGTGAGGCGCCAGGGCCCAAACGAAGGTGCCCTCTGGCAACTGCTGGCCTGGCACACAGACTACTCCACCCCCAGCTGCACCTGGGTGCCCCATCACCTATCACCTGGGGCAGCTGGGGTCGGGGAGCAGCAGGGATGAGGCAGAGAGCAGGGCGGGTCAGCAGGGGGAGCCCGAGGAGTCGCGGAGGGCGGAGAAGAGGGAGCCCCCTCTGACACCATACTCCCCTCCCTGGCCGACCTCCTCGGCTCCTTCCAAAACTGCGCCTGCCCCTCTTGGAGGGACAGACTTTGCGGGAAAAGCGATTATTGTGACAGGCTGGAGGCTGTGACAGCCCTCGGCGAGTGTGACCCAATTCCGAGCTATTCTGGGCCGGGTGGGAGCGAGCTGAGCTATTCCCTCCCGCCGACGCTGGCTTCCGAGGCAGCCTGACTTTGAAACGCCCTCAGCCCGCAGGGAGGCGGCGGCCTGGCGCAGGCCCTGGGCAGGAAGCCCCCGCCTGGGAGCAGGGGGCCCTCCCCCACCCAAGATTGACCCCAGCGCCCGCCTGGGTCCCCTAGTGCCCACGGACTGGGACCTGCCACCTGCCAGTGCCTGAGCCCACCCGCAGGCGAAGCAGGCCCACGGTGCCAGCCTGGCCGAGGGCAGCCAAGAGCGCCACGGGGCAGGGCCTGCTGCGGGCGATGCAGGTGCCGGCGGGGGCGGCAGATGCACCTGTCAGAAAGCCGCCGGCGCCACCCGAGCCGGCCAGGCGGCCTCTGTCGGGCGTCCCGCTTCCACGACGCACGGTAAGCGCAGTGACCGACCGCCCGGCCTGTCTTCCTGGGAAACTCTCAATGTCCCACTGTCCTGATAAACCGTTCAAGTGCCCCAGAGGATGCAAAACTGCTCGAGTATCGCAAAGTGCCAAGAACACTGTTCTGGTGGACCCAGCCCTGGCTCCAGGGAAGGGGGTGCTTCCTGGGGGGGCGCGGTCGGTCGCGAGCAGCTCCGTGAGCGGGAGGCCCAGGTGTCGGGACACCTGGCCTCATGCCGCCCTCCCCCACCCTTGCGGCAGCCTGGAGCGCCCCGCAGGCAGGCCAGGCTGAGGGCCGCCAGCCCCTGCTCGGTGCATCCGCGCTGGCTTCCACCTGGCTCTCAGGCCTGAGTGTGAGCCGCACCTGGGCCACCGCTGACGGCCACCGGCCCTCAGACAGGGGGCACTGCCGCTCTGAGGAGCCCCCGGCGGTTCTTCCTTCTGCAGGGCTCCTCTCGTTTGGCAAGTGGGGGCCCCGGGCAGTCTGACAGGTGAGGGTGGCTGTGGTGGAGACAGGCAGGAGGCCCGGGTGGGTCTGTCCGTCTGCCTGCACGTGGGTTGGTGTGGTGAGGCGGGGACGGGTGAGCGTCCCAGCACCCGCCTGGCACGGGAAGGAGTGCAGGGGAGTGAGCGCCGAGGGGCGTGGGGGCCCAGACACCTGCCCTTCCCTCCCGGGGCAGCGGACCCGTCCCCAGTGCCACTCAGCCCCCACACACCTGTCCTGGGGGCCCAGTTGGCCACAGGGCTGGACCCTGCTCCCAGCCGGAGGCCCCCCGGGTGGCGAGTCTGGGAAGGCGGCCAGAGGCCGAGCTCTGGCCTCGCCGGGCAGTGGCCCCTGCCCAGGTCTGCACAGGCTGCCCAGGCGCCGTGGGAGGGGAGCGGGATGCGTGCAGGAAATTTCCAAGGAAAAATTGAGGCCATGCTGAGTGTGGGGCTGGCAGGGAACTTCCAGTGACTCCTTGTCCTGTGACCAGCCTGTGCTGGGGTGGCGGCGGGTGCCGACCTGCTGACAGGGCTCACGCATGGGCCGGGCGCTCCCTCAGGGCCGTCAGGCCCATCTGCAGAACTGGGGTGCAGTCCGGCTCCCACTTCTCTGCCCACAGCTCTCTGGGCTGGATCAGGTGGCTGCGTAGCTGCCCGAGAGACGTAGTGAGGATGGCTGAGCAGGATGGGGGCAGGGCTGAGTGGACTTTTTGAGCGGGGCCTTGAAGGATGCAGAGGAGTTCGCCGCTGGATCCAGGTTGAGGCCAGCTGGGGATCTGGAGTGGATCGAGGCCAGAGGCCCAGGCCCAGGGGAGCCACAGGGACTCGCAAGCAGACACAGGCCTCCTGCCTCTGCCCCAGATGTCCATGTAGGGCTGGCTTTTGGCCGCCCTTCCAGCCCACCACCCAAGTGCAGGCCCAGGGGTCGGCAAGGCTGCAGTCCAAGACCCGTAAGCCCTGGACAGCGGCGCCACATGGCGCCCACAGGCCTGCTCCTGGGCTGGGGCCTCCCCGAGTGGGCGCTCGGCCAGCGGCCCTGACAGGTCTGGGAGCGCGGTGGCTAGACTGGAGGCCCTGAGCAGACACAGGCCTCATGGGCTTTTCTCAGGGGGCGTCCACGGTGGGGCAGTGGGGAGACAGGAGGACTGTCCTGTGAGGGAGCTGGCGGGTCACCTTGGTACACCCCGCCGTGGTCTGAAATGACAGGCTGGGGCCTGGGGGAGCATGAAGCCACCCAGAAGTCCGCTGTGAGTGCCGGCCAGGGGCCAGGCGGCCAGGGGCCAGGCGGGCGCGGGGAGGGCCTGGGCTCTGGGACAGGACACACACTCTCCTCCCTCCCGCGCCCTCCCCAGGGACAAACGGCCCTTTCTGCAGCCGGTGGGGTGCCACACACTCGATCCTTTGTCTGCCGAGTCCCAGGCCGTTGTCCTGGAGTCCGGACCCCGCGGCGCCTGCGCTGGGACAAGGAGAGGCAGGGGCAGGCCAGGAGGCTGTGCACGGAGCGGTCAGCACGGACACTGTGGGGGCGGGTCTCGGGGGCATGGGGACCAGTCAGTGTGTGGGCAACAGCATTTATTTCTGTCCACATGGCCGGAGGTCAGCCTGGCACCCTGGGGCACCTACCCCACCCCTCAAGGCGGCAGTAAAGGCAGCATCCCTGGAGGCCTCTGGAGTGAGAGCCACCCACAGACCCAGGCTCCCAGAGGGGACACCCAGTGGTTCTGGGGTAGGACAGCTGGGGGTCCCGGGCTGGCAGGGGCTGGCAGGCCCCGGGGCGCCCTCCGTGCCCGGGAGCAGGGGGGCGGGCGGGCGCCAG